GTGTGTGTGTGTGTGTGTGTGTGTGTGTGTTCGAGGGGCGGGGGGGGCATGTGTAGTGTGTGATTGTGTTTTTGTGACACACTGACCTCGCCCGCTGTGAAGCGCCTGCATGTGGTCTAGCCCTTAATGGTAATGGTAATCGCAGCGTAGGCACCCGTCCCGAAGGACGGCCATGTCTCGTTTTGCAGTGCAGGCGGGCATGTGTCGGGCCCGAAATGGCATACGATCATGTGTGGTCTAGCCCTTAATGGTAATGGTAATGGTCCCGAGCGCGACGCTCGCGAGTGGAGACGGTGGCCTACCCTGCCAATGACAGGGGCTCCGCCAGTCGAGAGCGATTTCGCCGACGCACTCCTCGCTGTCTCTCTTGCGCTCAAGGCGAGTACGTTAAGGGTGCGAGAGAGACAGAGAGAGGAGAAGAGTGGTCGCAGTGGAATCACTCGAATCTCGTAGCAATCAATACCCCGTTCATAAACGCCGTTACATGACAAAGTCGCAGTGACACACTACACGAGAAAAAACTACTACCACCGCGTGTACAACCTACGGAACGAGTCCAACCAACAGTCGCTCAGTCTCCCTCGCACCCATAAGGGATGCACAGTGGGCCTGGAGGCGGTCAAAATACCGGACGTGCTTTGAGCTCCAGAGTCGCTAAATGGGACTCGAACCGAACGTGAGACCCCACCAACGGATTGCTCTCCGAACGGGGAATCCATTGGTGGGGTCACACGTTCGGTTCGAGTCCTGTTTAGATCTGAATTTGACTGAAATTCATCTGAATTTGACTGAAATTCATCGAAATCCGACTGTTATTCATCGAAATTTGGCTGAAATTCTTTGGATGTGTACCGAAACACACAGTGATTTCCCCTTGCCTCTCGCTGCAGGTGGACTTCCCCAGCGCGTTCCACGCGGACCGCGCCCACCTGCTGCAGGAGCACCCCTTCTCGGCGGCGGAGGAAGTGGCAGCCGCGCTGCTCGGCCAGATCAGGAGCACGCTGACGGCGCCGGAGTGGAGCTTGGAGTGGGAGAGGGACCTCGGCGCGGTGGTGTCCAAGTGCGTGGAGGTGACGGCGCAGGCGGTGGTGCGTGCACGGGACCAGCTGGTGCACCTCGCCACGGCGCTGACCCAGCGTGTCTCCAGCGACCAACTCCAGGCCCAGCAGCTCAACGGCAGCCAGTTCCCCACCCTGGCCGCCACACTGTCGGCGGGGCTGAGCCTGGCGGTGGTGCGGCAGTGCGTCCCCGACGTGGGTAGCCGCGTGGTCCGCGCCCTGGCGACGCCGCTGCTGCCTCCCAACGGGCCGCGCTCCGCCGAGCAGCTGGGGAAGGCCTTCGCGCAGACGGCGGGCTGCCCCGCGGACCGCGTGGGCTGCTTCGCCATGCTGGCGACGCACACGCCGAACGAGGACGCCCTGAGCGAGGCTATGCGAATCCTGACTCTGAGCGACTTTCGCCGACTTCAGAACGCCTGCTGAAGTCGCTTTCGAGCCCCACAGTGCGCTGGCGAGTCATTTAAATGTGTACCGACTTGGTACTACAAATTAATTGGTGCGCGAAGCGAGGTAGCTCGGGGGCTCCCCCGGTATGCCCTTGTGAATTCACATCTAGATTATCAGTTTATGTGGTTGCCGAGTAGAGTATGCGCCTTTTTGTACGTTCTATCACAATGTTTTGTGAAGATTGATCAGTTTTTCCAAACGGCAGACGGATGGAGTGGTTCCCGCCTCCCGCCACTGAGTGGTTTGTGATTCTTAGATTGCCACAACCATCCTGTCGCGTAAACTCGGTCGCGCTGTGGTTCTCGGAATAGTGCCGGCTGGTTACTGTTCCCGCCACTGAGTGATTTGTGATTATTAGAATCTTGTAATCAATCTGTCAAGGAACATGTCACTGTTCCCCGCAGCAACGCAAGTTTGCTGACACGGCTATGTGCCCTGCATTGAAATGTTGTTGTAGCAATCAGTTACATCTTATTTTTGATTGTTTGTTAATCATTCTGACTGTTCAGTTATTTTTAGTGTACAATTACACCTTAGTCTTTAGTTTTTAATTGACGCCAATTTATCTTTTTCTCTTGAATTGTGATCACCAGTTAATGTGTTTTTGTTTTAAACTAAATGTCTTAGAAACGCAATTATTTTGCTCTTGATTGTCTTGCCCTCGGCTCAACCGCTGGTGTCCAGCGCAGAGATTTACTGCACACTGTTAAAAATAACCCTGGCGATTCCCGGAGAACTTTTCGGGGATTTCGCAAACGTACGGAAAAATAACACCACAGGATTTCTCGTTCGGAGAGCAATCCATTGGTGGGGTCACACGGTCGGTTCGAGTCCCATTTATCGACTCTGGAGCTCAAAACGCGTCCGGGATTTTGGTCGCCTCCCCCACTGGGCGTTAGGAGCCGCCAGTGCGCGCGGCGCAACAGTATTGTCGAGACCTCCGCGTTCGGCATGTCGGCATGGAGATGGTCGCAACAAACGCCAGCTGACACCAGCGCTCATTCAACAGGTTTGACAAAGCACCCATGTGAGTACTGCAGTAAAAAGATGGGGTGGCGTGGGGTCCCGCATTTTCGGCTGCGGGGTCGCGAAACTTCTTGGCCACCATTTTCGGGTCGCGAGCGGATAAAGGCTGGGAAACCGCCGGAAACCGCTGTGCAAGGCTGCAACTGCCGGGTACTAATCGCCGCAGACACTCGTGTTCTTGGGCTCTTTTTAACAGAAGATACCTTTACTACTTCAAAACATACCTAGAACAATACAAGACACATAAAGGTGTCGGCTAGCTTTTATGTCGTTCTTTCTCTACTCTTTCTCTCCCTCTGTCTCTCTGCCTCTTCTCTCTCTCTCTCTCTCTCTCTCTCTCTCTGACCCCTGCTTTGTCCAGGTCCAGGGCAAGCAAGGCCCCCCGCTGCAGTACATCACAGCAAGATGTGTTGCCTGCCCGGCCGACCCGTTCGGCGCGGCGGTCTTGCACTGCAGTGCGGCTGCCCGAGACGACGAGGGTCTCTGCGACCGCCAGCACCGCCAGCCAGTCGAAGGCAGCGCCGAGGTCCGCGGCCCCGAGGTCCACGGCCAGCCTGTACGGCGGTCACCTGACTCGGAAGAAGAAGGAGCGGAAACGGAACCCAAATATGGTACACTGCAAAAAAATCCGTGGTTGGGTACAGAAAATGTACGGAAAATGGGGTACGGAAAAGGTACGGACCTTCCGTACTGGTTCTCTGTGGTGTCCATTAGGATCTCATGTAAACTGGTACGGAAAACATGTACAGAACTTCCGCGCTTGTCAAGTAGGGACGGTCCAGGTGAAAAATTGACCAGACACGTTCCGTACTTTTTCCGTACTTTTTTCTCTACCAGTGTGAGTCTATGAGGTGTTGCGCGGCGAGTCTGGCCGCTGTGCGACGAAAAGGAAATAGTGCCTTTTTCCTCGACAAGAGGTTTCGAAACGCAAGTAGCCCCGTGGTGGATCCAAAGCCGGCCGGATGGGAAAGAGAGCGCCTCTTGCCTACTTAGAGCAACGACTGCGGCTTTTTTCCTAACTTTCAGGTGGCTGTCTAGGGGTGAAAAGAGGCAACTGCCCTCTTAGCCTCCTGTACTGTACACTCTGCACTGTGGGAAAAAATCACAGTAAATCCTGTATTGATTAGTACAGCTGCCACTGTAGTTCAGAGTACAGGATTTACTGTACTTTTTTTAACAGGATCTACTGTACTTTGTACGGGATTTACTGTACCACAGGAGTGGAGTACGGAATATCCTGTACCAGGTTCAGTAGATACTGTAGCCAGGCACGGTAAATCCTGTGTTCTGAACTACAGTAAATCCCGGCAAAAAATTAACAGGATTCACTGTGGTTTTTTCGCACAGTGTGGAACAAAGTGTGGACTTCTCCACACTTTCGGAGGTGTGGAATTTGCAGTCTCCAGATAGCAGCCCCTACACTAAAAGTGTGCAGTTCTCCTCGTTTGCACCGCTGAGATATAGGGGTTCTGTGGAGTGTGGAGCATCTAAGTATGGAGTATAATACTCGACATCAGAAGGATCTCCACTCTGGGTTTAACACTGTGGGTCGATCCATGCACACTTAAATCAGTTTCCCGCGAAGTCCTTGACAACAATCCTCTCTCGCAGATGCGGCTCTCCATGCTGCCCGACGACGAGCTGCTGGAAGTCTTCAGCTACTTGCGTCCCAGGGAGCTGCTCAAATGCCGGGTCGTCTGCCGCAGGTGGCGGGACGCGGCGCTGCACCCGCTGCTGTGGCGCGACCAGAGCTTGAGAGACACAGAGCCGTAAGCTCCATCACCGCACAGTGGATTTGCCAGAAGACCGGTGGAGGCGGCCAAAACTCTAGGCGCGTTTTGAGCTCCAGGGTCGCGCTAAACAGGACTTGTACCGAACGTGTGACCCCACCACTGGATTACTCTCAGAAAGAGGAATCCATTGGTGGGGTCACACGCTCGATTCGAGTCCCTTTTAGCGACTGTGGACCCCAAAACGCGACCCTGGAGCTCAAAACGTGCCTAGAGTTTTGGCCGCCTCCACCGGTCTTCTGGCAAATCCACTGTGCGACGCCGCACTTTCAGAACTCCAGAAAATCAACAGTGTTTGAACAATTTGATCCGTGGCCTCACTCAATTTTGTGGATTTGAAACTTATCGTGCAAATTTGTGGGAAGTTTCCCACACGCTTTCCAGGAAGAACAAAAAAAGTCAAAAACAAGGACCACAAAATTGAGCGATTTTTGTCAATATTTGGTCCATTTCGATGTCGCACTGACATCATCCGATTCATTTGACTTTGACTACCTGTTCTCTTTGGGGTTGGGGTGCGCAAAGTTGTGTGAGCCTCCGAACCAACAATTCACACAAAGGAATTTAGAGCCACAGTCCTGGATTCGTGCTTGCAGTCCATTCTAAACCTAGAGGTGCGGTGTAAGAGAGAGCGCCGTGACAGTCCTTTATGGTTAAAAATTGTTTTAAATTGTTTTCAGCCTTCCGCCCAAGAGAAAGAACATCCGGTTGGTCGCCGCCGTGCTCCGCCTGGCGCCGTGCCTGGGCAGCCTCACGCTGTACGACTACGACGAGGCCTGGGGCGAGGACGTGTGGACCGTGTGGGCCGTCCCCGCCGCCACCACCGCCTGCGCCGTCACCAAACTCTGCATCCACTTCCGGGCGTCCGACGCCGTCCTCGTCACTATGATCCTCGCCAGGTACGTCGCACAGTGGGCCAGAACACCGGTGGAGGCGCTCAAAACTCCAGACGCGTGTTGAGCTCCAAGTAGCTAATCAGGACTCGATCCGAACGTGTGACCCCACCAATGGATTCCTCCTTCGGAGAGCAATCCATTGATGGGGTCACACGCTCGGTTCGAGTCCCACTAAGCGACTCTGGAGCTCGAAACGCATTTGGAGTTCAACTTATCTCGCAGTCAAGGGTTTGGTTAGGGACCCGGAGACACAAGGCTTTGCTTTCCCAGATGCATTCGTTACGGATTGTCCACTAGCAATCGTTTTCAAGAAGCGATTCCCAGATTAGAAATTGAATACTGATGCCGTGCTCACGTTTGCCCTTGCTTTCACAGGCAAGCTTCGCTGGGGCGGTTAAAAGAAGTCGAGCTGTACGTTCACAGTCCGTTGTATAGACGTCCGGAGCGACTGTGCGCGTTACTGGACCAATTGCTGTTCACTCCTGGTGAGTCGCGAAATCCGTTGCATGAAACGCAGGCTCCAAGGAAACGGGGCAGGGGACCGAAATTCGGAACGCGTGTTGAGCTCCAGAGGCGCTAAACAGGACTCGAACCGAACGGGTAACCCCACCAATGGATTCCTCGTTCGGAAAGCAATCCATTGGTGTGGTCACCCGTTCGGGTCGAGTCCCACTCGGCGACTATGGAGCGTCTAGATTTTTGCCGCCTCCACCGGTCTTCTGGCCCATTGTGATAAATCTTACGAGGATCCGTTCAACACGTGTTAGTTTGAGAAAATCTTCTAAGGATTCTTCGGCGGTGCACTGATATGTACTCACCCGTCCCGTCTTTGTCCAGGACTGGAGGCGATGGACGTAGCCGGCAACCCGTACGACGGCCTGAACGTGCCGCTGCCGGCGCCTCCTCTCCTGACGAAAGGCAGTGCCTCCATGTCCATGTCCATGCCGGCGTCACTTCGTCGGGTGCGATTCGATTACTACAACAGCATCCTGGACTCCCACCTGCACCTCATCCTGCAGTGGCATGCGGCCACACTGGAGGTGCGTTGACTCACTCGGCAGAGCCCTGCACAGTGGGCCAGAAGACCGGTGGAGGCGGCCAAAACTCTAGCCACGTTTTGAGCTCCAGAGTCGCTAAATGGGACTCGAACCGAACGTGTGACCCCACCGCAGATTGCTCTGCGAACGAGGAATCTATTGGTGGAGTCACACGTTTGGTTCGAGTCCCATTTAGCGACTCTGGAGCTCATGACGCGTCCGATATTTTGGCCGCCCACACCGGTCTTCTGGCCCACTGTGCACTGGCTGACTGTCCCTTCTGTCTGCCAGGACGTGTGCATCATGGGGGACACTCCGCGCGCGGCGACCCTGCTGTCCGCGCTGCCCGCGCTGCACACGCTCAAGTGCCCGCTGCTGAAGGGCATGCTGGCGCTGCTGCAGTGCCCCAGCCTCAAGAAGCTGGCCCTCATCCTGGACCTCAACGCGTGGACGCGGCCGCTGATGTCCGAGGCGGAGGAGCTGGTGCGCAGGGCGGCGACGCGCCTGGAGGAGCTGACGCTGGACTACAACCAGGAGAAGAACCCGGCCGCCGAGGCCGTGAACCTGGTGCTTTGCCTGGGCGCGGACGAGGCGCCCACGTCGCTGCGCAGCCTCGCCTTCGTCCTGGCCGACAGCGACGTGCCCCCGCCGGTGCTGCCGCCACTGGCCGCCGTCCTGCACCGCCTGCCGCTCCTCACCAGCCTGGACGTCAACTGCAAGCCCCCGGACGCCTTCCTGCGCGCGCTGGACGGCAAGGTGGTGCCGGCGCTCACCAAGCTCGAGGTCTGGCTCAAGGACGACGAGGACGAGTGGCTGGACAGCGAGCCGGTCCAGACGGTCTACGAGAGGTACCCGGAGCTGGAATTTTGGTTCTGAGCGCGGGCTTGCCGCGTGGTTGGCACGCACAGTGGGCCAGAAGACCGGTGGAGGGCGGTCAAAATCCCGGACTCCTTCTTAGCTCTTGAGTCGCTGGGACTCGAACCGAACGTGTGGCCCCACTAATTGATGGCTCTCCGAACAAGGACACCTTTAGTGGGGTCATACGTTCGGTTCGAATCCTGTTCAGTGACTCTGGTGTTCTCAGCGCGTGTAGAGATCTGGCCGCCTGCACCGGTCTTCTGGCCCACTGTAGAACGCATTGTGACAATCCCAGCCTCAGTTGTGACAAAAAATGTTTGCAATAAATCTGACTTATACACTACTTTTGGATTGTTTTTAAACCCCGATGTAGAACACAGTTCAGAGACGTTGCCCCTGGTCTAGACGTAGGTGGGTTCAAATCCCGGCTGAGTACGGCCATTATTTTCCGCCGCAGCGCTGCCTTTGCAACAGCGTGTCAGATGGGCGGCCTACCTTGACGGCGTGGCTGAGACAACCCCCAACCCCCAACCCCAGCGTGCCAGCGTGGGTGGCCTACCTTGGTGCGAGGGAGCTAGCCTTCCCGAGGTGCAAAAGAGTTCCCGCCGTCGGCCCTCCCCGAAGGAGGGTGGAGTAGGGCAATCATAAAGGGTTAGTAACCTGACCTGGCTGGTAGCGAACCAGGTCCAACGGGAATCGTGTGCTGCCGCATGGCCTCCACGGCCCATCGCTCTGCCACCTGAGCTACGACAACACACCGTCCTGACACGTCCTATCTTAGAGTGACGGTACCGGGTTTGAGAAGTAGACTGAGGAAAAGATTCATTCACCTGGGAGTCGAACCCAGGACTTCCTCCCGCCGGCCGACTCCTCTACCATCTCGGCCACCCCGCTACTGCGAGTTTACTCGATCAATCTTAGAGTGATGGTACCGGGTTTGAGAGGTAAACTGAGGAAAAGATTCCCTCAGCTGGGAGTTGAACCCAGGACTGCCCCCCGCCCGCCGACTTCTCTACCATCTCGGCCACCCAGTAACTGAAAGTTATCTCGATCCATCTTGGAGTGATGGTACCGGGTTTGAGAAGTAAACTGACGAAAAGATTCATTCACCTGGAAGTCGAACCCGGGACTTCCTCCCGCCGGCCGACATCTCTACCATCTCAGCCACCCAACCGTTGCGCAGTGAAGCGATCAATCATAGAGTGATGGTACCGAGTTTAAGATATATCAACAGTCTGGCTGAGGCAAAGGATGTTATACTTGAGATTGAAACCTCAGTCTCTTTCGGCGCGGCAGACACCTCTACTCACTGCGCCACCTGACAGCTGATACATCGTCTGCCCAAACTGAGACTGCTCGCACATCGCAGCATCACGTGTAGGATGGCTATGGCTGACGGAGCGGTCGGAACTAACTATCCGTGGGTTCGACTCACAGAGTTTCTTCCCTCGTGGCCAATACTTTCTTCAAAATTCTTTATTCCTTTTGTTGTACAGCGCAGGGAAGGTAGACCACACCCTTGGTACTTCACAGGGAAAACGTGCAAAACAAGACGTCAGAAAAAGTTACGCCTAGGAGTCGAACCCAGGTACTGTATCGGGTCTGCTGCTACCTTTGCGTTCTGAGCAACATTTTTTAGTATTTGGTTTGGCCTTGTCAGATCGACCGGGAATAATGAACAAAACCAATGACTGGAGAATCTTAAATTTTATTTTGTCTAAGTTTACACAGGAATCATCGTGAAGAAAACATTACAGCTTTCTTTCTATCCTAATATGTAAATCACATGGGTATTTTCCTACATGTTTGAACTCATGAAATCTCGAACACAACAAGCAGCTTTCAATAGTACAACTGAACATCACTACACACGATTTTCAGACTTTGGCAATAAATAACTAAGGTTTATTTTTTAAAAACTGCTTATTACAATGAAAAGGAAGATTTTTTTAAAAAATAAGCTATTATTTCAAAATATTTGTAGACAACAAACACATTAAAACAGAACACTAGAAAGGAAAACTGCATCCTACCCTTGAGCAATTAGGAGCAATAATACAACTATGTTATCTCCAGATACATAAAAGCAATTGAAATAAAAGATTGCAAGAAGGAAAAAAAAGTCACACTGATGCTTATATTAAAGCATCTCTACAACATTTAAGTACGGAAACAGTACGACTACACATAATTAAACAATCTATACAACATATGGCATCTTTCATATCAACATTTATTTTACCGAAGGAATTTTAATAGAAAATATTGCACACAGCAAGAGCAGCACATCTTTTTAAACCACCAATGAACACTTGACCTAGGCAAACACTTTGAGCACTTCGGAAAAAACTCCTCATTGACTGTTGCACTGGACATCCCATTTTCAGGTTGAAATTTGCTTTTCATTTATTATAGTGGCTCTGAAAAAAAAGGCAAAAGAATCAATCATTTGTTATGATGCAGGATGCGTCAGTTGTAATGCACCAACCACTTGCATAATACCTTACGAAGTATTTTGAGCGTATGTAAGGTACAAACTATCTAGTCTATATTACAAAGAAATAGTTTGTACTTCTAAGACTTTACTTTGAAAGCTCGTGCATGATCAAAATACTTTGTTCTCAAAAGCTCCTTTTCTTTGCAAGGCCCAAAATAGTTCATAAGGTTTTCAGAGTGCATACACTCTAAATATGGGGTGCCCAGCAACTGGGCGCCTTTGTCGCCCGCCCCACTTTTTAGGGTGCCAAATGTCGCCCAGTTTCTGGGCACCTTTGTCCCCCAGTCACGGGGTGGACAAATCATACAGTAACCGGCCCTCTCCTATGGTAGAGCATGCTCAGGTGTCTAGATCCTGGGCGACTAAGGTGCCCAGATTCGGGGCACCTTCGGCACCTCAGTCGCTACTGAGCCATGGGTGAAGGCAGGTTTCTTAATGGTTTGTTCACCCCGAGACTGGGTGACAAAGGTGCCCAGGAACTGGGCGACATTTGGCACCCTAAAAAGTGGGGCGGGCGACAAAGGCGCCCAGTTTCTGGGCACCCTACATTTAGAGTGTAGATGCAGAACTTACTTGGCACCAAACGAAATGGTCTTAGTGGCTACTCCGGACGACTTGGGCTTCAGGGCTGCTCCTGCGCCAGCCAGGATGGCGGGAGTGAGGCCGTGTCCCACGGGGCCAGCCGCCATGTGAGTGACTGAGGCCTTCTTCAGGATCCCGTTCGGCACGCCGTTCTTGGCTGGAATCAAACATGGAAAGGCCGGGTCAACAACAGCAACAACAATAATAACAACATCGAGAGTTTGAACGCCACTGCAGGAGCCAAGTTGAACACTTACGTGCGCCGCCGTTCACCGACGTGACTGTGACATTGCCCCGGCTGACTTCGTCCAAGGCCTTCGAAGCTTCCTGCAAGAAGACGTTGGAAAAGATGATCGTCAAACACTCTGGAGACTAAGGCAAGATACGGGGTTCATGTCGAGTTCCAACTTCAGTTTGTTTTCCATGACGTTTCTCTGAATTCCAGAAAAGAGAAAAGAGTAGACAGCACTGATAACAATTTTGCCTTTACTTGACAACACGTTCATTGCTAAATTTTTGGGCAACAACATTTCCTTTGGAACAAATAGCTTGATGAACCACTTTCCTATTCCAACAAAAGGATAGTTCTACAACGCCAAGTTTATAAAAATGTAATTAACAGCCCACCTTTCAAAAACAAGTCATTGACCAAGAACAAATGGTGTTAGTCTGCAAAACGCATTCTAAGTCACTAAATTTTTTTTTAAATGTCTGCGACAAACTATTAAGTGACTACTTTTGTCGCAAACTTAATTTTGCATGGTTCTTCTTCTAATAATTATCTCACTACGACTTTGTAAAAATAAAAAAGATGACTCCAATATTTCTTTTCATTTAATTTAATGAAGTCGCAAACATACTACAGCACTAATGGCGAGACTAATGGTGACAACAGGAATTTCGTTCCTGCACGACAAAATGTTGCTCTATAGGTTCAACAACATTTGTTTCGCTTCAAGTCATAATGACATACAATGTTTATGGATGACTAAATTTTCACTCATATGCTTGTCTCTGTATGTTTTATTTTTTACAGTGATCAGACTCATTCCGAGAGGCGTTTCCGTCGCTCTGTCTCTCTCGCACTCATGGGGTGTCCCCTTGCAGGTGCGAGAGGGACAGAGCGACAAAAACGACTCTCGGCATCAGTCTGCAGGGCGCCGTTCTCACCTTGGCGTGGCCATCGCTGCCGGCGTCCACCACGTCGGTGCGGGTCCGCAAGTTGGAGCGTGACAGTGTGGCGGCCAGCTCGTCCTGCAGCCCGCTGGCCTCGTCCTGCTGCTGCTGCTGGCCGTTGAGGAAGGTCAGCTTGGACGGCTGGCGGCTGGCCGCGGCGCCGTACTCGCGGATGGTGACGCAGACGGCGGGCCTCGGGGCAGCGGGCGCCCTGCGGGTGGAGGAGCAGAGCGTCACAACAATGACAACACAGTGGAGTGGCGGCAGGCAGGAGACAGCCAAAAGACACTGGAAGCGGCCAAAATTCCAGACGCGTTTTGAGCTCCAGAGTCACTAAACTGGACTCGAAATGAACGTGTGACAACACCAATGGATGGCTCTCCGAACGAGGAATCCATTGGTGGGGTCACACGTTCGGTTCGAGTCCCATTTAACGACTCTGGAGCTCAAAACGCGTCTAGAGTTTGGCAAGGTCTGCGAAATGGCGCTAGAGTGGTGCAGGAGTGCAGCAAGAGTGGTGTGAGGAAGTGCCAACAAGCGAAGAGGATTCGAAGAAGAGCGGATTCTCCGGCGACCCAAGAAGATAAGCAGGCAAGCAGTTCGCAAATTCGACGGCTGAAACAGCGCCACCCGACGGGCATAGAACCCGCACAGTGGGCTAGAAGACCGGTAGGGGTAGACAGACAAAACTCTAGACGCGTTTTGAGCTCCAGAGTCGCTAAGTGGGACTCGAGCCAGACGTGTGACCCCACCAATGGATTCCTCGTGCGAAGAGCAATCCATAGGTGGGGTCACACGTTCGGTACGAGTCCCATTGAGCGACTCTGGAGCTCAAAACGCGTCTAGAGTTTTGTCCGCCTCCACCGGCTTCTAGCAAATCCACTGTGACCTGCCCCGGCTCTGCCCCGCACCTGTTCTGCTGAAAGTACGTCTGCGGCGGGCGCGGCTGGCGGGCGCGCGGTTCGAGTAGCTCCAAGCTGTCCAGGCTCTGCATCTCCACCTCGGGCACGAAGGCCACGGCCCCCGTGGCGGCGGTCGTGGCCGTGGCGGTGGCGGCCTCGTCGCCGGCGGCGCGCACCGTCCACGCCGTGGACGCGGTGTGCATCGTGCTACCCGACGAGTCCGAGTCGTAGTCCGGGGTCGGGCAGTACGGCGCGGGGCTGGGCGTCCTGCAACGGCAACGCGGCGCTCAGGGCGCAGCCTTGGCGCACCGGTCTCGGCCTCCCTCGTCTTCGTCGCACTCGCACAGTGGGCCAGAAGACCGGTGGGGGCGGTCCAAATCCCGGACGCGTTTTGAGCTCCAGAGTCGCTAAATGGGACTCGAACCGAACGTGTGACCCCACCAATGGATTGCTCTCCGAACGAGGAATCCATTGGTGGGGTCACACGCTCTATTCGAATCCTATTTAGCGACTGCGGAGCTGGAAACGCGTCCAGACTTTTCACCACCGTCTCCAGTCTAGCCCACTGTGCTTCCACTCGTTTCCGTCGCACTCACGGGGAGGGGCAGGGGCGGCAAAGCAGCACTTTCATCAACTTACAGGGGCAAAGCGTGGATTTCCGCTACATTATAAAAGCGTCTATCTTTGGAACAAGAGGGGTCGAAGGCAATTGCGGAGCACATGTCGCTTCTAAGTTGCCTGGGTAGCAAGACTGACGCCGAGACTCATTTTCATCGCTCTGTCTCTCACGCACTTATGGAGTGTCCCGTACATGTGCGAGAGAGACAGAGCGACGGAAACTACTTCGAGAATCAGTAGTCGACAGGTTGTACTACGCGCGAGCCAGAGCCCCTGCCAGCGACGGGATAGGCAACCTGCGGCATTGCACGCACGCGTGTTCGACGGGCTGCCTACCCCGCCATTGGCAGGGGCTCCCCGGCTCGGCTCGACAGAGCAAGTAGACCGTTCCATCGCCAGCACGCACAGTGGGCCAGAAGACCGGTGGAGGCGGTCGAAATCGCGGCAGCGTCTTGAGCTCCTGAGTCACTAAATTGGACTCGAACCGAACGTGTGACCCCACCAATGGATTGCTCTCCGAACGAGCTATCCACTGGTGGTGTCACACGCACGGTTCGAGTTCAATTTGGCGACTCTGGGGCTCAAAACGCGTCCGGGATTTGGGCCGCCTGCGCTGGTCTTCTGGCCCACTGTGGCGCGTCGACCACACCCGCAAAGCGTACCTGTGGTTGACTCTCAGCTGGTGCTGAGGCTGTGCCTGCTGCTGCAGTAGATGGTGGTGCACTGGTTTGAGACGGGACTGCTGGATCGCAATCAGTCCGTTGGACGAGGTCTGCCCGCCGTTCGCCGAGGCAGTGCCGTTGCCAAGACCGTTGACACCCGCACTCTTGACGGCGCCGTTGACGACAGCGCCGTTTGATGGCAAGGGAGGCTTGGCGACGACCTTGTGGTTGACCTTGGGGGCGGCCTTGGGGGCGGGCTTGGGGCTGGTCCTGCCCGTCAAGGTCACGGTCGTGAAGGCGGGCGGCGGCGGTGCGACGCACGCGGGGGCGGCGGGGGTGGCGGGGGCCGGGGGCGGCATCGCTGGGGGAGCCGGCGTCTCCTTGGCCGACGCCTCGCCGTCAGCCTGCAGACACGGACGGAACGTTTAGAACCAGCCGGGACGGCGTGGAGACACCGAAGAACGCTGGGGGTCACTTGGGGAAAAGAAGCACACCCTCACTAAATCTTGAAATTACTTTAACTTTATCTGATTAAAACTGATTATTAAACTCAACTTGAAAAACTGAGAATGAAGTCCCTGCCAAATGGATGTCCAGATCATTTTTTAGAAACAGTGAACCCTGTACTTTTCTTCTCCACTCACTACCACACGTCAACAGATTACCAACATCAGAAACAAAACTACAAAAAAATAAAAAATAATAAAAAAAACAGAAAAAAATTGGGAGTTGAACTCGCGATCTTTGGCTCCGCCTTCTTCCTCGTTGCGCGCACGACTACCGGACCAACCTGGGCGGCGGGCGGTGCGGGCAGTGGCGGCGGCGGGTGTCGCGGCCCGTTCCTGCGCACCAGGCGCGTCACCTCGCGCTCCGCCTCCTGCGAGTCCTGGCGGTCGCGCTCCACGCGCAGGCCGCGCTCGCGCGCCGCGGACAGCGCCAGCCCCGCAGACACCTGGGCCGCGTGCTGCTGCTCCAGCTGCTGGCGCCGCTGCATGAAGCGCTCTCGTTCCTGCAACACACACCGGAAATTTTTATTTTAGCAGATGATACCTTCACTACTTCAAAACATACCTAGAACCGAGGGGGAAATCACTCGCGCAATAGTCGGGTCACCGATTTCTAGTATTACGCGTAATAGTAATGGCGTAATTGCCAAATTTTTAATGATTTTCTCTATTTAGGGTCCGATTTTAGGCTAAATCTGGATATTTTGGAGCGTAATAAGCCTCCTGTAATAGCGTAATAGAACGTTATAGGAAGTGGTCGGGTCACAGTTTGTAAGAGTGATTTCCCCCTCGCCTAGACAATACAAGACACTCGAAGGTATGTCAGCTAGCTTTTACTCGAGAGTCCAGAAACCAAGGGCTGTCTCAGCCTCTCTAAATGAACTGACATGGCAACACATTTTCAAAATAATATTTCACAGGGTACATGTCTCAATTAAAAAAATGTTGAGAAGTTTTCAAAATAGTATTAAAATTTCGGTTGGATCACGCCTTACGAAGCACTACAATCCTTAATGGTGGTTCATCCATTGCGAAATGTCTTCTGTCCCTCTCGCACTGACTGGCAGTTCATAACAATCAATAAGGATAGAACTAAGAATCACGTAACGTAATATGTGGACGACCGCTAACTACAGCAACCAACCAAATGAGTAAGGAACCACACGAAAAAAAGGACCCCGTTTACAGTGTTGTACTACACGACACAGTGGTGTTTTCCGGGCCATACGGGGCCATACGCCGTATGGCCTATTAACGGAATCGGGGGTACCGTATGGCCTATAAAATTTTCCAGGCCATACGGTCGCATACGCGGCGTATGCATACGCCTCGAAAATCCCCAAATACCAAGGCACCGCTCGACCAAATGAACTTCCCAACTCGCACTAGACTGCTTGTCAATAATGTAGGCTGCGGGGTCTTCTGAAGACCCCTCGCCAATCACACAGGCGAGTAGAGAAGACCACACTTTTTTAGAGGGCTCGCCACTGCCTGCAATGGCACCCACTAACAAGACCCTCAACAACAACAACACCAGCAGGATATCATTGTATCGACCCCACACCACCCCACCGCACCCCGCCCCGCCCACACACGTGTTCCGCGTCGGCTAGAACACGCCGCGGTGCACCGCGCGGCTTGCAAAACAGTAGCGCCTTGCATGCTGGCGTGCTCTTCGCGGTCTGCTCCAGGCTCCAGGCCAGGGGCACGGAGCGGCGCCCTGGTCTCCGGGAGGTCCAGGCAGCGCACAGTGGGCCAGAAGACCAGTGTGGAGGCGGCCAAAACCCCGGACGCGTTTCGAGCTCCAGAGTCGCTGAACAGGACTCGAACCGAACGTGTGACCCCACCAATGGATTGCTCTTCGGACGAGGAATCCATTGGTGGGGTCACACGTTCGGTTCGTGTCCCGTTTAGCGACTCTGGAGCTCAAAACGCGTCCGGAGTATCGGCCGCCTGCACCGTTCCTCTGGCCCACTGTGCCGCCGTGCAGCCAGCGCGGCTTACCGGATGGCGGCCCCCTCCCCTCCCCTCTCCCAGACTCTCCCGCCTTCCAAACAATTGCGGCAACCCGCGCACTACTCGGCGTCATTCCGTGCAAGTCACGCGCGCCCGGTTTGAAAATTTGCCAACACCGGCAGCACACTGTAGTAGTGTTGGCCCTTGTCGCCGTAGGCACCGCCGGCACCGCCTCAACGCCGAAGTTGCGGACCGATCACTGGGTTAGGGACGCACTTGCGTGTGCTTGTGCGTTTGTAAGTGTGTATTTGTGGCAGTGTGTGTGTGTGTGTGTGTGTGTGTGTGTGTGTGTGTGTGTGTGTGTGTGTGTGTGTGTGTGTTCGAGGGGCGGGGGGGGCATGTGTAGTGTGTGATTGTGTTTTTGTGACACACTGACCTCGCCCGCTGTGAAGCGCCTGCATGTGGTCTAGCCCTTAATGGTAATGGTAATCGCAGCGTAGGCACCCGTCCCGAAGGACGGCCATGTCTCGTTTTGCAGTGCAGGCGGGCATGTGTCGGGCCCGAAATGGCATACGATCATGTGTGGTCTAGCCCTTAATGGTAATGGTAATGGTCCCGAGCGCGACGCTCGCGAGTGGAGACGGTGGCCTACCCTGCCAATGACAGGGGCTCCGCCAGTCGAGAGCGATTTCGCCGACGCACTCCTCGCTGTCTCTCTTGCGCTCAAGGCGAGTACGTTAAGGGTGCGAGAGAGACAGAGAGAGGAGAAGAGTGGTCGCAGTGGAATCACTCGAATCTCGTAGCAATCAATACCCCGTTCATAAACGCCGTTACATGACAAAGTCGCAGTGACACACTACACGAGAAAAAACTACTACCACCGCGTGTACAACCTACGGAACGAGTCCAACCAACAGTCGCTCAGTCTCCCTCGCACCCATAAGGGATGCACAGTGGGCCTGGAGGCGGTCAAAATACCGGACGTGCTTTGAGCTCCAGAGTCGCTAAATGGGACTCGAACCGAACGTGAGACCCCACCAACGGATTGCTCTCCGAACGGGGAATCCATTGGTGGGGTCACACGTTCGGTTCGAGTCCTGTTTAGCGACTCTGGAGCTCAAGACGCGCCTTGAGTTTTGGCGGCCGGCGCCGGTCTTCTGGCCCACTGTGGGACGCCCCACGAGTGCGAGAGAGACAGACAGAGACCTCTACTCACAGCGTACGTGCGCACTGTCACCAGGCAGCGCGTCCTGGGCGGCATCATGGTGGCCACGCTACTCGTCATGGCGAGGCGGAGGCTGTCCTAGGGCCTGTTGTTGTTGTTGTCGCAGTCGCACTGCCGCACCTGCTTTGCGCACACTCTCACTCACTCTTCGCTCCAAATGTCTCACACCAAAAGGCCGTCCTAGGGCCTGTTGTTGTTGTTGTTGCAGTCGCACTGCCGCACCTGCGCTGCTCACGTCTCACTCACTCTACACACTGAGAATCCAAACGCTATGAATATAGCGTCAATTGGTGCAATGCTTTGGCATTGCACATGAAGTGCAATGCCTTTCTATTCCCATGCATAAATATAGGGCATTATCGGGATGCATTGCACGTAAGGTGCAACATGGCTATGGCATTGCACCATACATGCTATACTCAAAGCGTATGGAATCTCAGTGCACTCTAAATGTCTTTGAGTGAAAGGCTGCACCAACATGGTGGGGGAACTTTCGTCCATAGTACAAAAGAAATTCGACAAAGTACATATCTACGGAATAGGTGCAAGGTAATTTCAGAGATAAGTTACTGAGTCAGCTTGCATACACGTAAGTGGGTAAGGATGCGTCGCGGAACGTGAAATCGCGGCTGATTCCCACACCCCGAGCCAAACGCAATCAGAAACTAAAATCCAGGCGATGCACGCGACAAGAGTAAGAGTAAGAGTAAGAGTGAGAGTGAGAGTGAGAGTGAGAGTGAGAGTGAGAGTGAGAGTGAGAGTGAGAGTGAGAGTGAGAGTGAGAGTGAGAGTGAGAGTGAGAGTGAGAGTGAGAGTGAGAGTGAGAGTGAGAGTGAGAGTGAGAGAGAGAGAGAGAGAGAGAGAGAGAGAGAGAGAGAGAGAGAGAGAGAGAGAGAGAGAGAGAGAGAGAGAGAGAGAGAGAGACGAGAAGCCCCTGCACTGTATGCAGCCCGCTGCTCGCCTGCTCGCGCTGACCGTGTAATTCGTTCGTCGATTGGCAGACAGGCTGTGCCTCGACGGGCAGTGCCTCGCAGTGCCTGCACGCGAGGGAAGGAAGACCCACATACAGCCTTCGGGAGTTCTTTGCCATGCGCGCCGCGCCCCGCCCCGCCCCGCCCCGCCAAAGACAAGCCCTTGGCGTTTCGCGGATTTGACGGCACCTTCGACCTTCGTCGCGCAGTCGAACCATTTCGGAACACTGTCAAGCCAAACGCGCCGGCGTCATGGCCCCCCAATCTCTCTACACATTCGAAAAAAGTCTACGAAGCATTTGCTTCATAACAACGAAAAAAAAAGAAGGCACTGTACGTAAAACTGCAAAATCTGCAAAGAAATGCTTCGTATTGTGAAGCGAAAACCTTCGTGATACGAAGCATTTCCTCATGATACGAAGCAATTCGACAATGCCTTCATTTTCTTCCTAGTTATGGAGCAAATGTTTCGTGGGCTTTTCAGAGTGCCCAGGGTCGTTTTCGTCGCTGCGTCTCTCCCCCACGCATGGTGCGTCCCGTACAGATGCAAGAGAGACAGAGCGACGAAAACGACTCTCGGAATCAGTCTGCTGTGAGGAAGGAGGGGGAAATTCTCTTTTCCGCCATTCATTCGGCCATACCTCGCCCCTGGAGCGGTAACATGCTGCACCGCAGCAGCATCAACAGTGCTCTCATCGCTCTGTCTCTCTCGCGCTCACGCGGCGGGCCGAGTTGGTGCGACAGGGACAGAGCGATCGCGGGAAAGTCAAAATGCAGCGGGTGCCGATGGTCAAAAAATGTGCGACCCCGCGGGGAGTCGAACCCGGGGACGGCCGTCGGGACGCGTGGCGCGCGAGGCGTGGGTGGGCGACTGCTTGCAACTTCACTGGTAGCCAAGGAATGTGACATCACATTCGTTTGAACGTGAAAACGGCGATGTCAGTTTGAACGTGACAAACAGAGAAAATTCATACTCAAACGAATGTGACACCGCACCGCTCTGTCACATTACTTCGGGTGTGACACGAAATCAGCGGGCAAACTGTTACATTAAAACGAATGTGACACATGGTACCCATTGACATACATCGTGTCACATCCAAACGAATGCGACACCCATATGCTGTCACATTCGTTTGAATGTGACATGGCCTAATTGTCACATTCAAACGAACGTGACACGCCCCGGACGCGCCATAAGTGTCAGGTTATGGCGTGTCACGGACAATCAGGGCATGTCACATTCAAACGAACGTGACAGCATTTGGGTGTCACATTCGTTTCGATGTGACACGATGTATGTCAATGGGTACCATGTGTCACATTCGTTTTAATGTAACAGTTTGCCCGCTGATTTCGTGTCACACCCGAAGTAATGTGACAGAGCGGTGCGGTGTCACATTCGTTTGAGTATGAATTTTCTCTGTTTGTCACGTTCAATCTGACATCGTAGTTTTCACGTTCAAACGAATGTGATGTCACATTCCTTGGCTTCCAGTGTTGCACAACGTGAAACGGGGAAAAGGCACGACTTGCACAACGCGAATGACACGGTCGGAAATAATGAAAAGAAAAACCAGGAACGTCGGGCGGCAGGGGCAGGGGGAAGGGGGTGGGGGAGAGAGACACGCGCCGGACGGACACGGACAAGACAGCATTGTCGCCAGAGTAGGGACCGCGACGGAGGGACGGAGACAGACATCCCAGACGCGGAGGGAAGTGGCGTCGACACTCCACAGGGAAGTGCCTCGGGGAAGTCAAAGCGTACGCACAGTGGGCCAGACCGGTGGATGAGGCCAAAACTCTAGACGCGTTTTGAGCTCCAGAGTCGCTGAAAGGGACTCGAACCGAACGTGTGACCCCACCAATGGATTCCTCGTTCAGAGAGCAATCCATTGGTGGGGTCACACGTTCGGTTCGAGTGCCATTTAGCGACCCTGGAGCTCAAAACGCGTCTTGGCCACCTCTACCGGGCTTCTGGCCCACTGCGGTACGCAGCGTGCAGCGTGCGGCAACCCTCCGAGTGTCTCAACAATACACATCCGTTTCAATAGCGCGCAGCGTAATTTAAAAAAAGATTTTTTTTTGCAGAAAACCGCCATTAGTGCGACACATTCCTCCAAAGTAAACACATTCAACCCGACAACTTTTTTAAAAAAATAATTTTTGGAAGATGATTGTTTTTATCGTGAGGACCTGTCTGACACTCACTCAGGGCCTTTGGCCGCGTGCGACCCCTGTCGCCCAGGACGACCGCCAGCCCGCCGCGCCGCCGCAAGGCCCGGGCCGCTTCAGTTTCGCCGGTGATAACGTATCTGTGCCCGCGTTTGTTTGAGGTAAAGTCCCGGGGAACGCCCCGCCCCGCCCCGCCCCGCCCCGCCCCGCCACGGACTGCGATTGCCGCGTGCAGAATCCGGGCGCGCAGTCCGTGCCACACTGTGCGCCAATTAAACCCAAAACAACAACAACAAAAACAACAACAACAACAACAACAACAAACCAACTCGGCGGCACACACACACAGACGCACACACACTGCTATAACAACGGACGCACCGGCCTCCGCGACACCGGCCCAAACAACAAAAACAAAAACGATCACTACACTGCCGAATCGGAAGGGCACACGCGGAGCGGCCGCGGCGCGACACTCGCGGTGGAAAAACAAAAACAACAACACCACTACTACTTGCAATGTCGGGCACCGTAAACAACAACAACAACACGCGGCCAGCGCGGGCGGCTGCGGACTGGATGGGCGCGCGGCGGAGCACTGACTGCGCGGAGCTGCTCAGCTGACGGCGCCGCCCCCTCCCCTCTCTCCCCCCCTCCCCTCCCCTCTCTCTCCCCAGCCCGAGCCGCCCCCTCCCCTCTCTCCCCCCCCCCCGCCCCCGCCTTCCCAGAAAGCGTGACACAAACGGAGGCAGTGGTGTCGGCAGTGTAGTGTCACAGTGTCACCTGAGGACGCATCGCTCTCGTTTCCAAATGCAGCAGACTGAGAGTCGCTTTCGTCGCTCTGTCTCTCTCGCACTCAAGCAGCTGTCCCGTATGGGTGCGAGAGAGACAGAGCGAGGGAAACGACTCTCGGAAGCAGTGTGCCGGCGAGCGGGCGGCGGCGGGCTTCTGTCGTGATGTCGACGACGACCACCTCGTCCACGTGCGCGAGAAATTGACTGCCTCTGTCTCTCTCGCACTCTCTGGCCGTCCCGAGAAGAGGTGTGTGCGAGAGAGAGAGAGAGAGAGAGAGAGAGAGAGAGAGAGAGAGAGAGAGAGAGAGAGAGAGAGAGAGAGAGAGAGAGAGAGAGAGAGAGAGAGAGAGAGAGAGAGAGAGAGAGAGAGAGAGAGAGAGAGAGAGAGAGAGAGAGAGAGAGAGAGAGAGAGAGAGAGACGAGAAGCCCCATGCACTGTATGCAGCCCGCTGCTCGCCTGCTCGCGCTGACCAAAAATGGCATAATTACCAAACCAACATATGATTTTATTTTTTCAAATGGCACGGACCTAGACCAAGACCAAATGAAACTTTTTAAACTAGTCCAATAAGTAGTTTTAAAAAGTTGCGATAGGTACGAAAGGATTCCCCGTTGCGTGGAGCCACCATACTTTTTTAACCCTTAGAGTTCCAGGCTCCTCCTGAGGCCAACCACGAAATATGCCCCTGGAGGTGGGCAAAATATAGTAGACAATTGGCTCCCCGTCGGGGAGCGCGCTGCTGTGCAGTCCGCACAGACAGTGGGCCAGAAGACCAGTGGGGGCGGCAAAACTCAAGACGCGTTTTGAGCTCCAGAGTCGCTAAAAAGGACTCGAACTGAACGTGTGACCCCACCAATGGATTGCTCTCCGAACGAGGAATCCATTGGTGGGGTCACACGTTCGGTCCGAGTCCCATTTAGCGACTCTGGAGCTCAAAAGGCGTCTAGAGTTCTGGCCGCCTCCACCGGTCCTCTGGCCCACTGTGCGGCCGCGGTTTCGGAACGCGGCCCAGGAAATCCTGGCTGGCCGGTGCCGCGGAGTGCAGCGTGCAGCGCTCCGATTGGCTGGCTCGCGGCAACGCGCTGAAACGGGTAAAGCGCTCGGCCGGCCGGTCTGTAATGACTTCCTATTTTTATTAACGGCCCCGCCTCCGCCTCGCGCACAGTGGGCCAGAAGACCGGTGAAGGCGGCCAAAATCCCGGACGCGTTTTGAGCTCCAGAGTCGCTAAATGGGACCCGAACCGAACGTGTGACCCCACCAATTGCTCGTTCGGAGAGCAATCCATTGGTGGGGTCACGCGTTCGGTTCGAGTTCCAATTTGCGACTATGAAGCTCAAAACGCGTCTAGAGTTCTGGCCGCCTCCACCGGTCTTCCGGCCCACTGTGCCTCGCCCCGCGCAGAGAGAGATTCGTGGATCCAGTCGAAGTGGTGGCCGGACATGCAGGGCAGTTCGGGCCGTGCATGAATGACGTAACGCTGACGTTTGGCTCATTCCGATCAACGTCTCTCTCACCCACACTCTTAAAAGCCGACGAAGCAGTTTTGCTTCATAACCGAGAAGAGAAAATTAAGGCATGGTAGAATTGCTTCGCATCGCATTATGAAGAAATGCTTGTAGTTACTTGCCTCACTCTTCCTCCAGTAAGTCACCAATGACAAGTTAATTGTCTCCAAATCGCACTGAAACGTGTTTTTAAAAGTGTCCTTGCGTACAGCCCCTCTCAAAAAGATAAAAAGCGGCTGGTTTAGCGGGCCGGGTGAAGGCCTGCAGCAGACTGATTCCGAGAGTCGTTTTCGTCGCTCTGCCTCTCTCGCTCTGACGGGGCGCCCCGTTTTAGTGCGAGGGACAGAGCGACGAAAACGACTCTCGGAATCAGTCTGCAGTGAAGGACTGTATTGTGGTGCGTTGCGGCGGACGGCACAAACGCCCTGCATTCTGAAGAGAGTCGCTCCGTCTCATTCGCACTCGTGGCCCAGTGGGCCAGAAGACCGGTGGAGGCGGACAAAACTCTAGACGCGTTTTGAGCTCTAGAGTCACTAAATGGGACTCGAACCGAACGTGTGACCCTACCAATGGATTGCTCTCCGAACGAGGAATTCATTAGTGGGGTCACAGGTGCGGTTCGAGTGTCATTTAGCGACTCTGGAGCTCAAAACGCGTCTAGAGTTTTGTCCGCCTGCACCGGTCTTCTGGCCCACTGTGCCACGGGTGCGAGAGAGACGGAGCGACGAAAGCACACCGCAGCGCAAACGCGGCCTGTCCAGATTATTGCGCGATCCGACCGCGGTGCACAAAGGACGTACACCGCAAAGAAAGAAAAAGGGGAGAAAGAAAAAAATAGGGCTGACCATTCAATCGCAGTAACCCCACGTAACCTTTGTGAAAGCCACAACAATCATAACCGTAAAAAAAAGTCATCAAAACTAGAAGCCGAAGTTGGTACTCGCTCCATTGGCCGCAATTACCCACGGTCCATAGGCTACTGTTTCAATCCAAACCAAGAGGAGTAAGGTCCTAGCTGCGCAGAGGAGTTAAAAAAAAAACCTAAATAAATTTTTTACACTTTCGCCGTGTTTTCCTGAATCTTGGCGGCAAAAACGGTTCCTGGTTTCCCCACACTCTCATCCTTCAATCGACATTTCATTAATATTCATTGACGCTTGTGCGTATTACAGAGTTTCGTTAGGAATTTGTTAAGACACAGCTGATATGTGCGGTGGGCCGACTGCTGGAGGCGGACAAAGTTATTCTAGACGCCTCCAAAGTCGCTAATAGGGACTTTGGATTGCTCTTCTAACGAGGAATCCATTGGTGGGGCCACACGTCCAACACTGCAAATCCGGTGGTAAGTTTGCTTGCCACAAATTTGGCAAGGAGTTTTGAATGCCAAAATTTGGCAAGCTTGGCCCGGAAATAACCCCCAGCTTGCCAAAACTTGGCAAGCTTATGGAGATTTCCGACCAAAGCTTGCCAAATTTTGGCATCCAAAACGGCTTGCCAAATTTGTGGCAAGTAAACTTACCACTGGCTTTGCAGTGAATTAGCGACTCCGGAGCTCAAAACGCGTCTAGGATTTTGACCGCCTCCACCGATCCACTGTGTGCCGTCTGGGCGCTGCTGTGCTGCTGGGACACGCCGACACACGAGAGGCATATGCCATTCCCATGGACCGGCCAAGTTCACATACTGTACCGCATGCACGGCGTGTCGCAACGACGCTCGCATTTTCAGATCTCCCGCCAACAACAACAAACTTCCAGTCCGCTCGACTTTCTTTTGTTTGTTTTGTTCCACCTCCACCGCGCGGGGCAGTGCGGGGTGCGGCGCGGCTCCCACATGCGGCTAGGAGATCGCACCCGTGCGTGAGCAGTGCCGAGCGAGTGAATCAACTTGGTGGAGTGGGACGAATGAGTCGAGGTTACACGCGATTGTGGCAGCATTAGATTAAACACACGGAGCACAGTGGGCCAGACGACCGGTCAAGACGGCCAAAATCCCGGACGCGTTTTGAGCTCCAGAGTCGCTAAATGGGACTCGAACCGAACAAGTGACCCAACCAGATTGCTCGATCGGAGAACAATTCTGTTCAGTGACTCTAGAGTTCAAAACGCGTCGGGACACTGGGAATCAGGGAATGTGACGTCACGTTCGTTCAAACGTGAATCGTGTCACGTTCGTTTGAATATTGTGTCACATTCGTTTGAACGTGAATCGGCTGGACCCGGGCCTCGACGAGGCTGGTTCACGTTCAAACGAATGTGACACAGTATTCAAAGGAACGTGACATGATTCGCGTTTGAACGAACGTGACGTCACATTCCTTGATTCCCAGTGGAGTTTTGGCCCACTGAGCGACCGGGGCACATCGGAATTGCAAGGCGGCGAAAAGCATATGCACCTTTTGGAGCTCGCACAGGTCTTTGGCGGCGGGTCACAGTGGGCCAGAAGACCGGTGGAGGTGGACGAAACTCTAGACGCTTTTTGAGCTCCTGAGTCGCTAAACAGGACTCGAACCGAGCGCGTGACCCCACAAATTAATTCTTTGTTCGGAGAGCAGTCCATTGGTGGGGTCACACGTTCGGTTCGAGTCCCATTTAGCGACTCTGGAGCTCAAAACGCGTCTAGAGTTTTGTCCGCTTCCACCGGTCTTCTGGCCCACTGTGCGGGTGGAGTGTGTACAGGAGTCGCATGCATCGTTTACGTTTTTCTGGCGCGGTTGATTTGCCTGCAACAGCACTGCAAAAGCACGGTCCACTCTGCTCCTGCTGGACTGCTGTGTATCCAAACTCCGATGTGTGTTTTCCATGTCACGGAGAATGCTATTGGGTAAGGCACGCGCAGCGCCTGGGAAAAATTCAAAGCCGCCGCGTGTGCGTGCGTGATTGTGTGTTTGTGAGTGTGTGTGGGTGTGTGTGGGTGTGAGTGGGTGTGGGTGTGTGAGTGTGTGTAGGTGTGGAACTCCAGGCAGTGCCGACGGGTTTGCATATCCCCGCCCTACAGGTCTTCTGGGCCCACTGTGCGACGCCACTGGGACCCCAGTCGGTGCCGAAAGGGTTTCCTACCTCAGCCTGCGCAGCCAGCTTGACAGGCTGGACCACAATTGATCGCGTGCCGGCTCGGCCCCGGAGCATTATTGTCAGGTCGACTATTCACACTGTGGGCCAAAAGGCCGGTGAAGGGGGCCAAAACTCCAGCCAGACGCGTTTTGAGCTCCAGAGTCGCTAAATGGGACTCGTATCGAACGTGCGACCCCACCGATGGATTCCTCGTTCGGAGAGCAATCCATTGGTGGG